AAAAGACCACGACGTTTCGGAGACTGGATCTGTCTCCGTCTTCAGGTGGGTAGGGAAGGATAAACCTACCCAGTGATTGAGACTAGGTCTTTCTAACGGGCCCAACTGAGTAGGTTTATCCTTCCCTACCCACCTGAAGACGGAGACAGATCCAGTCTCCGAAATGTCGTGGTCTTTTTTGTCTTTTACATACTAGATGATGAAGTCCAAAATAAGCCAAAAGAATTACAATATCATCCTCATGTGTACATATTTGGTAATACAAAAGAACTAATTCAGGCTAGAAACACTAAGTTTGCTTGGGGGGTAAATACCATTGAACACAAAAATCCATAACCCATCCCCACATTACGTACCAAGGGACAACATATGTAGACTGGGAGAAAGTCTATTCTTTCCTCTAGACATTGGTATGTAACATCTGATGAAGTATATTTAGAGGAAGGGTCTACTAACTGCTCTTCTCTGGCAGTTTTAACAGATGTAAGCGACTAGTGGAGTGCAAAAGGTTAAGTTATGTAACCTATTTAGACATTTATTTGATTTAAAGATCAGTAGAATTTATGAACTAACATACTAACACAATCTTGTCTTAATTTCTAATTTTACAAAGCAGTATTATTACTTTGATATAGGTGTGATCGCTCACCCGCAGGTGTCGTATTTGTAGAGTGCGAACAGTATACGTTGCCATGACGTCTTCCTTCACCAGTCTCACTTGTATCACTCCATATGTTTCCACCCCTTCCTTAGGCCAATACATGTCACACTTTCTCTGAAAGAAACATACAATGCTTCAGGACATGGCACACTTCATTATTATGCACATAAAATCCAGAGAATCACCCAATTTTAAGTCATGACATAGAAAACCTGTATGATCCTTTATTTACAGTGCATATGCATTTTCATTATGAATTAAATACAAAACATATCTCTACTTTTCACAGATTTAATCAAATTAATTTTACATATACTATAATGGCTAAAATTTTACACTTCTGGTAATTCACTGCTATACAGTAAAACAACTGTACTAAATAAACCCTTATCACAAAGTTTAATTCTTTGATATTTTAATAATACATGTATACTACCGTGTCATGGATTATATTGGGAATACAACACTATGACAATTTATTTAATATACACATCACATTTTTTTAATATATATGAGTTTTGTTTTTCCTGACAAACACAACAATATACCAAACAACTTGCTCATATTTCAGCTCATGAAGCCATCATCAGGTAGTACTTTAACAAACTTTATATTATTGAACTATGCCTCTAACATGGATCCATATATTGTACTTATCATTGTGTGTTACACAAAAGATATGGTGTGCTTCTTTCCCTTTTGTTAATCACCTTTATATGCACAGATTAAGTGGCTGTGTTTTTATACTGCTTTAAAAATGTATTAAACAAGTTTTTAAAACTTATTAAAAGTCTCAAAATATTAAAAATATGTTAAAAGGTTAAAACATTATTAAAATACTGAACCCATGGAAATACCCTACTCTAAATATTCTGAGTGGCTGATTCCACCCTTAGTTTAAATAAAATTACGATTATGTACAGATTTTGTCTGTTAGTCATGCCAGGCTTTCCACCATCAATGTGGCTGTCATCACCGATGTTTCCTATAATAGGCTGATATTCTGATCATGGGTTGCTATGTTTTGCTCCTAAAGTTCATTTAATATTTTCTTCTTAGGACAGCTATGGAGCTTAGTATTTTGACGTTTTCTCGTAATATCTTGTTAAATTATGTTGTGTCCTTACTCATGTTCTTCCACGATCCGACTATAATTGTGTTAATAGATTTGTAGTTTCTATTCGAGCTTATGCCAACACGTTTGCTTTTGTCGCCTGTTGGGTTATACTCATTTAAATTTCAGAACAAGAGGGCTGTTTTGCAGCAAAGTCCACCAGACTTCATAAAATCATAAGATTTAACAGCTGGAATTACCAGAACACACTTCAGTTTAAATTAAGTACTGAAAGATCAAGATCATTTTCAGCTAAAGATATTTTTTCAAACTTCAGGACTACAAAATGCAGAGAGTAAGCTTTATAAACTACAATACTGTTTTCTGGTACAGGAGCTCATGTGTTCTGAATCTGAGTACAGGCAATCAGCACCTGCTGGACAAACTGATCTTGTTGTAAATAATAAAAGTTCCAGAAATCTATTATAAATGTTTTCTTGATAGTATGATGATTAATTTATATCAGAATGTGTTACTTATCAACTTCTCTCGTTAAGTGATATCACAAATTTATATATAATATTCTACTAACTGTATATCATATGAATTATTTAAATTCAATTCTAACATGTTCTGGTGGTGATGCATTACTCATAGGATTATTAAAATTTCCAGACTTTGTCCACTGTCTGCTATTTTGAAAGAACATAGTGTTTCCATTGCCTAATACTTTAAAAGAACACAATGTTTTCGAAACTAGAAACTAGGTCAAGTGATTAAGATTATCATTTCTAATGGACCCAACTGAGTTGACTCCCCACCCTTTCAATGGATGGAAACATATCCAGTTTCAAAACTGCCGTGTTCCTTCAGCATACTAGATAATGGACAAAGTCCAGAAACTCATCAATTTCAACTGTTCCGAAAATTTTGTTTAGAATTCAAGGTCTGATTCACCTTTACAAAGCTTGCTCACCATTACCAAACAAAACGAAGATTCAAAGGTAGGAATACTTCTAAAACCTTACACTAACTATCCGCATTACACAATTAAAACCTTATTTGCATTAGCCGAAGATAATATCCAAACATTTTATGCCTTTACCATATCAATTTCTCTGGACAGCACCAGACAGAAACACATATGATGGCTACTGTTTTGGCTGGCAGATTACAGATATCTATAGCGTGCAATTGTGCCATGTGAATTATGATCCAAGCTCAAAACGTTTGATGTTAGTCTCATGCCCACACAACTTGTTTCTGGCATGCCTCAGTTCTGTCCTTGTTAACTCAAGACTAATTCAACTGGGATGTCACTTGGAGGTCATTATGTTGCTATGAGCAAGCACTGAATTGCTAAGAACACAGCGGATAAAGGCCAGAGAAGGGAGACTGTCATTTCTACGAGCAGCTACAAGCAATTAAACAATATGGATTGGGTCATGGGATGCTTAGGACCAAGGGAAACCAAGGCACACAGAAAGAGATACAGAGTGCTCAAACCAAAATACAGTACCTCCAGACATTGGGATGCAAGCTTAGGCTGTCTTTTAAGAGTTTCCTAGTGGACAGCATGAACAAGAAAAGAAGAGAATAACACCTATCAGTTTGATTTTGCTTGTTTCTAAATGTTAACACATGTGTACTCTCCTTTCATACAAACTAAAACTGAACTGTAATTTTGATACAGTAACAACCAATCATGGGTATCCTACACAATGCTTACTGATGGAACAGAAATACAGTGGTCCACCGGTACAAAGCGGCTTGACAGAATCTGTAAGACAACCTGCTTCACAGCTGAACAAATATCAGGCAGTAGGCATGGGCATGCAAAACTTCTCTGTGATTTACCAGCTGTATTGTGCATCAGTCTGGTAAGGTAACCAAAATCTTTAATAGATCAAAACAAATAGCAATATGCTAATAATTTATAACAGATGTGCAATGGTTCTTTCTGCAATTGGCACAATACTCATATACTTTCAGCCAAATCACATTCTACCAGTGACAGCTGCTCTAATACACATGCTACCTCAACATATGTTCAGTAAACTTTTGTTCCATTCTGCTCATTGTTAAATGGTATGGCATGCAAAGAACTATCACAAGACATATCTCTCAAAATAGAGGAATCTAAAATACAACGATCAATAATGAACAGAAAGGTCAGCAGCTGTGTGACAGGAGACCACTGTACAAAAGAAAAGAACTTCTGAATCACTATGTTGAAGCTACAAATATAGGATTTTCAATTTTAAAAGAAAGGGACAGTGGGAAATATTATCAAAACCATGACTACAATTAATACAGGGACAAAATTACATTTTTATGAGATTTGTGGCTTTCACTGCAGTGAAGATTCTTATTGTGGTCTCCTGAGTTTATGACACCATACAGTCTCACAGATGGGTGCCCAACATTTTGGAGAACAGGGCAATATGTTCCTCCAAAATACTGGACCATCCTACCATAATACATGGTTCATAAGCCAGAAGAATGTTATATTTGCTGAAACAATGGAATCTGTAAGGGGTTTATGCCTCTCCTTGGCACCAAACTCCCTTGCCTCCCTAAAACGGCATTTCATAGTTCTATTACAATACAGATGCAGTGACACAAAATTAAAACTGGTGAATAAGAGCACTAGATCACTTGCTTCTGGTATGGTTTGTTCCTTCCATTTTCACAAGTATATAAAATAAGGACTTAAAAAAAGTGTATGATTCATTTCTTACACATAACACATAATAAACCTTATACTCATACAAATACCATCAGCATGTGGCATGAAATTACAAAGCCAAACTGCACTTCATTCCTACTTCAGGCCTGCCACTCAACTGGCTTAGAGCAATGCTAGTTCAGTTACAAAATAATGTCCTGTTTTTTATGACCTTCTTGTTTTGTTGATTATTTTATAAAGTCTAACTTCGATTAAAGGTGTATATTCAATTATGTGTATACAAAGTCATACGGGGCTGTTATTTGTCACACACCATGACTTCTAGTCACTTACTGTAATAACAATCTCATTACATCAATTCAGTGACAGCCAAAGTAAGAGAACTGTTTCAGTTATTTATGCGTATCTTGAGGCATTTCTGTTACAATAAGAATTGCTAAGTGAAAGACTAATATTAAAAACTGATCTAAAAACTTTCATATATTTGTAAAATTCTTTGGTTTCTTAGGTTGTCATGTCAGAACACCATCTGATATCTTGCACATTAATGTAGCTAAGTGGTGATTTTGAACAAAATTTCAGCTGCCAACACACAAGTGTCAATAAAACAGAAAATGTAAGACTAGCATAATAAATGTGGCCCATTAAAACCCTTAATCATCTCAGAAACAACACGACTTGCTAAAAAAAAGCAAACGAGACATAAATGCATATTTGATTTTTCTCCATGTTTCTGTCAGTAACAAATTTCTCTTATAAATATTTGGGAAGCTGTGTTCAAACCCATGCAGCTATGCATGTAGGTCCTCATATCCTGTTCATTACTGCTGTCTCATTTTCACAAAAAATGGACTGAGTCAACAAACAATAAAGGTCCCCAACATCACATTTCATGAAAATCCAGTAAGAAGTTATTTTGGTGTTACAAGCTAACAGCTGCAAAAAAAAAAAAGTTGTAATAAAACAGTAGCATGATTCACAAATTCAAAACTTAAAAATCTCTTTTAAGTAATATTACATATACTGAGTGTATATTTATTATTTAGACTGGTTCCTGGAGCTGTTACAGTAATCTTCTCACACAAACCTGCTGTGGTAGATGATAATTTATGGATTCCTTTTCTGCTCTAGTGATTTTATAGTACAGTCTCGGAATGATGGCCCTCTGCTTCTAAGTATGCCTTACATCATGAGAATACTGTCTCGTGTTAAGTGACTATACACATGGTTTGGATTGGTAATCACATTTATTGCACACTCACAACTTGGAATTACAAGTAACTATAATGCTGGACAATCACTATAACCCACATTAGTCTTCTCAGTTTGTTACAGCCTATACTAGATGTTGCCCAGTCACGGACTTCTAACAAGGGCTATTCCTCATATGTTTATGACTCAAGAACTGCACTCCCTAACTGCCAACTCAAGATTGAAAGCCAGAGTCAAAGTTATGGTATAACAAATGGTCAGTCAGCCAGTTTGTCTTGATGTCAAGCACCACCTGGAGCGCTCTCACTGACAAGAGGATGGGTCTGTTATTTACATCTGCTGTTGGTCCTTGCCAGTGAAGTCATTCTAGATTTGAGACTCACCCAACCTAGAGGGCTAGGTCTCCATTTTTACATCTCCCAGGAACAGGGTGGCCCAGTTAAAACCCCAGGCACTGGGTTCCTTTTTCATTGCCTCTTGTGACTCACAGGGCTATGGTGGAGATATGTGAACCCACTTCCAAACAGGAGTTGACTCGCAAGTCAGCAGTTCTGATAGGTGCGAAGAAGTTGCAAATTAACACTGCTTTTGGAGGCAGCTTGACAGCTGCGGATGTTGGGATCGGTTTAGCTGACTTCTTGGCTGTCCGGGAGGTATCGTTAGATATGCTTCTTGTCTCTCTTTACCTCTCGGAAGTTGTCATCCTAAGCCATTGATATTCCACACTGAGGTTTTGTTTACTGCACCACTTTGTCCTGCCTGTGCACTCACCTTGAAGGCAGCCTTCAGTTCATTCAGTGTTACTGTTTACATGCTGTAAAGGGCGCTAAAAATTGGCTTCCCATCTAGAGTTTTGCAAAAGTTTGCTCTATTCTCCTCTGCACTATTCACAACAGAGATCCACTCGGAGCTTTCTCCCACTTTAGTCAGGGTGCATCTGGCAAGGATCTCAATGTCATTGTGTACTTTATATGCTTTTTGCATTTCACTGATACCACCTTTGACAAATGGGAGTTGGCCTTGAGCACAATACGTAAAGAGAAGTCTGTAAAAACCACTCTATCCAGAATATGTTTCATTCAAATCACTAAATTCAATCAAGAACTGGTGTAGCTGACATACTGTCTGAATGTGAACTTATAACACTTTCACTAATCAACACATTCTATAAATCAATACTGCAAGCGCTAAGTATCTATTAGTCACTGCTTGGTTAACAGCTCAACTCTCCTCAACTCACTTGGCCAACTTTCGTTCCCTCAAAGTTACTTCATGACTGGCGGTTCATGTTATGTAGTCTCAACATGAACTACACAGAAAACACCTCTTCTCACAATTCCTCTATTGTTGTGCTGCCGCTGTCACCAAAATGGTAACCAGTTGTCCCGTGATATTTACATGGCCATTCCTTAGCAACAGCCATCTCTATTGGTTCCAAAAATTTGGCTTTGAGCCCTCACTTCACAATATGTCTCCACAAGTGCACTGGAGCTGTTGTATGGGAACAGCTTAAATTTCATGTCACATATTTTACTGACATTGTTTCAAAGAGTGTAAATTGTTCACATACACTTTTTCTCTCAATGTTTCCCACAAATAAAAGTCACAAGGATTTACATTAGGTCATCATGGAGGCCACAATCCTTGACTTATGATTCTGATCACAAAAAACTTCATCTAATGCATTCACAGATTTGCAGAGTGTACCAAGGCATTATCTTGTATGCCAATTCAATTTGTCTCAGTCAGTTGACTGAAGAAAGTGACAATCAATATCACATAACATACAGAGTTTACAGTTTTATTCAAGGAAACGGGACCACTTATCTTCCAAACTAGTTATCTGCAAACCAAATCCCAACTTTTAAATCATTCAGTGGAACTTGATGAAGAGCATGAGGATCTTCCATGATCCAATACTGTTATTTCAACTGTTTACATAACCATGTGAAATGAACCATGACTTGTCAGAATAAGACAAGAGTTCTATGACATGCAGTCCACTGAACACTGGATACTTATTCCTGAAACCACCTACAGTGTCAAACACTTGCTTTGCAATCTGGAAGCAATTGGCTATGTACGATTGTAACTTTTGCAACTCTGTACCAATGTGAGCTGTACTTTTGGTCAACCAACATTGCAAAGCCAGAAAACATAACTTCTTTGGGCTTATTTCCAATCAAGTACCAATGTCATCAAGTTTTTTCTTTCAGTCAGTACATGTCTTTTCTGATATTTCCTTTTGTCCACAACTGATCCTATAGAAAATATATTTGGCACAATATTGCAAATCATTGCTTTACATGATACTGACCAAGCAGGATACTTCCTATGAAACTTCCTGTGATATTTCTTCCATGAAGAATGCTGTATGAAGGCATAATATGTCAGTACTTTCTGTTCAACATTATAATTCATTTTCAACACTACAACACTTCACAACACTGTGAACTGTATCTGTATACATATATATCTCAGAGACAACCACCCAAGCAAAACAAGAGATACTATTGAGATAAGTCAGCAAGCATCACACTAGTAAGCAGTAGTTTGTCAGACATGAGTGCACAGATTTTTAGCTGGCCAATTTAAGGATAAAATGGATTCCTTGTGGTATTATGTTTACACAACACACACAATTGTAATTTTATATGCAACATTCTGTTACAGTGACATGTTCTGGCCTTTAGTCTTCATCATGTTATGTTACACTTACTATCAGTGCAACTGCTGACATTGTCAGACAATGGCCAATGTCTGCCAAGAAATTTTAAACATATACATATACAAGAAACATATACAAGAATGAATGCAGTGTTCCATACCAAAAGTGTTACATAAACACAATGATTCTATTAACTTATAACCATATATTAATATACACCTAATGACATCACAATTCAACAGTTTTGTGAAGAATTTTTAAAGATCTAAGGACAAGAACAATACTCAATAGTTCTAACAATTTAATGCAGTAATTTTAATCATATGTATAGGTTTAAAATTTCCTTGCAGGCATTGGCCAGTGTCTAACAATGGTAGCAGTTTCGTACATAATACATGTAACACAGCCTGAGGATGACTGAAGGTCTAAACATGTCGCTGTGACAAAAAACTATATATAAAACTACAAAAGTGTGGTGTGCAGACAGAGTATTATATTGTGCATAGAGCCAATACACCACAATATATACTTATCAGACTCTGAAAACACTAACAAACCTTCAATAATATTCAATGCAGGTATCACAAGAGTGAAGAAGGGCCACAAAATTAAACATATGTTTACTATGCGCCACTGGCACTGAATAGGTAATATCACAGGACATTCCTCCACTTTACACTGTTCTTTCAGTATGTATGAACAAAACTGTGCTGAGATTTAGAAAGCCTACTGTCAAACTGTGGGGCACGCAGTAGTGTAGTTGGTTGAGGCATATGCTACAAGCTGGAAAGTTGCGGTTTGAATCCTGATGAGGTGGATTTTTTCAATCTACTTAATCCTTTCAGCCGCACTATGGGCCTGTGGGCGACTTAGCCTCTAACAGAAAAGAATACCAGGAATATTCTTGGGGGTAAAGGGAGCCGGCATGTAAGGCTTGACAACCTTACCGCCATCTATGAGCCGAATGTCTAGAAAATGTGCGAACCTCAACATCTCACAACCCTATTGGCCTCCATGGCCTGTTACAGGGATACCTTTAGTTACACTTTACTTTACTTTACTGTCAAACTGTGACATACTTTGCTGCATACCTGTTAAGATGAAACCAAAATATAGAAAACTAAAAACAAAGAAATAAGTGCAATTTAAAAAATTCTGTCTTGTTCAGACAGCTCAAGGAAGTTAATAATTTTTATTTTGATGTATGTGCAATGAATGGTTACCAAAATGTGTCTATTATCTTCATGACATCTGCATTAACAACTTGAGAAGTGCTTAAGAAATTTTTGTGAAGTTTGATACTGGGGAAGTTTACTAAAATTTGTCAACATGTTCCAGTTTAGGTTGAAATCAGACTACGTGAGGTGCTCAAGTGAAACTTGCTAAACATTTACTGTAGTGAAAACTGTTATGAACAAATGTTACAGAGAAAAATGACATATACATTTCTTGCCCAATGCGCTTTCCTGGCAAGTCTCAGCGGTTCCCAAACAATTACACAAAAGGAGGGAATGTGCTAGAATTGTTCCACTACATTTCATAACACATCTTACTGACAATTCCTGCATGTGTCAGAAGCTTAACTTTTTCATAGAAACATTACCTAACAGGTTCTATTAATGTTCAAAATTAGACACACAGGTTTTGAGGATGTAATCTGAGTGAACTGATTCATGATTACTAGGCTTCAGTATTACTGATGCTGAACCTTTGGCAATTTTACCAGAGAGTTATAGTCAAGACTGCCATGCTGTTGTTCCTAAGTAATACCTTGCATCAGAGGCAAATTTCTGTCTACACTGTTCCATCACAAATCAGTATTTACATGAGATAACGCTGTACACAGGAATGTGAATTAAGAGAGTACTGCACAAAGATCATGACGAAAATATTTTCAGCTTATTCACGATCCTTGAACTATGGACTAAGATTTGCTTGTAAGTATGACACATAACTCAGAGAAGCACACAAGTGAAGTATCGAAGTTGTTGTAGATTCTAACATGGAGCCAATCCCACAGTCCTCCTGGAGGCGGGAGGGGTTGCCAGACCAATGGTAACCGAATTTAATGATCCTACATACATAAACTACATCAAAATAAACTTCCTTATTCTAAAACAAGGAAAATGTGTTAGAACAGAATAATGGTGACTAAGCCTACCTCACATAACAGCAGTGGCAAAAGGTAAGTATGAAAGAGTGGCAGAATGATCATTGGAAGAGGAAACTTGAGTACTCAAGAGTAAAAACTGCCTCAGTGCAATTTTGCACAATACAAGATCCACATGGACTGCCTGAAGCTGAAACCTCAAGTGTAACAAATAGGAGATGAAGAGCTCAGCTTCAGATATTGCCACTCGTCTTGCAAGATCTGAGCCAGAGGAAGTAGGGTGAGTCCAGAATTGTTGAACACAACAAAACAGGGTGTCAATATATGGGTGGGTTCAACAGTTCAAGTTAGGGCTCATGGCTGGCATCTGTGAGCATGAACTGAAACTTTCTGCTTAAATCAGAGACTTTTTGATAATTAAATAATTATCAATATTTAATAGATATTCTCTATCATGGAGGGAGGGACCGAGAGAGTCACTCTCTCCAGGAACCAGTGCTTGAAAATGACTGGGGACATATTTCTATAAAATGAGATAAAGCTTCTCATGAATCCATGATTTATTTAATCCGTCTTGCAGTGCATACACTCATTTTCATGAAATTGTTTACTTAAAGAGTATTTTTAATTTGTGGAATGAGTCAGATTGGGATTGACAGGAAAACAGGGTATAAACCACTGCACCAACATCTCAAGACAATGTCAATTACCATCATCTTCATTAGCTTTCAATGCAGCATATGTGTGCAGCTTACAAGAATATACTGCAAATAATGGAATTGCAATCTTATGTAGTACACACACTGGTAAAAATGAAAGGGACAACCATACCTGTAGCAAATGGTGCACAAGAATGACTTCAACTCTGAAAATCTTATGGTTCACTCACCCTTCCACGCTCCACAAGATTGGTAATCATCACAATGATTGCCACATGCTGTTCCCAAACCATACGCCAGAAACAATCAAATGTTGCAGGGAGTGGTCCCTGTGTACCTATGTATGCCCGTGACCGCTGGAAACCATCAATATAGTTAGCGTTGACATAATCGATGGAACGCTTTTGCCCAGGAACTGGCAAAAGCTGGACTCGGCTGTGGTCATCTGAAATATCATAAAGATATCTTCCATTTAATTAGGTAAAAACATGAACAAATATTTACATAAGTTATATCACATGGTAAGGTTACTTCTTATCAAAAAGGGCTGGAAAGTTATGCAAAGCACAGTTATTTATAACTTTCTTTGGACTGTTTGAACTGTAGAAGTCACAGTACTGAACGAAATGATAAGTAATTAATGGCAAGTACGTAGATATAGATTTGGTAGCAGGCAGCTGTGGCCTGACTGAAGGTAATGTCCTGGTATCTGTTTGGAGCCATTCAGAAACATAACAGAAAAGCCAAGGCAAGAGAGCTGGAAAGTAAGCAGACATTCAAACCAGGTACATCCCCTAGTCCAGTTTTATGACTATACCAACATGACTGACTAAATACCCTGCAACCATGAGCATGTAAGATTACCAGCATTGTAATCAAAGCAAAGTTTGGGAATGCATATACACATGGAAACCCTATTCAGCCTACTTACATTTACATGTACTCAAATAAAACGAAACAGTCACTTCTACATACATGCCACCCACTTACTTACATGCTAATATATTAAGATAGCGATTTTTCTGCTTGTTTTCAGGGTGCTGAGAGTGTTCTGATGGATATTCTTCTTGTGTGGAAGCTGCCTGTATTGCCTCATACTCCTTGCTGAAGCCAATGTCGCCATCTGCATGAAGTTCTGTCACATGTTTGGAGAACAAATGAACAGGAATGGCTGTTTTTACACCACCATTCTCTGATCTGGCATCCCAGTCTACCAGTGTTGGTGGAGGTGCCCTTGGAGGATCATCAAGGTAATAATACGCAGCATGGAAACATTTCCTGGAAGCAGAAGTAATTCGCAAAAAATTTATTTTCAGGTCAAGAAAAACTAAAATAAAACATAGTTCATACATTTTGTGCATTCATTCATTCATTCATTCATCAGTAATCTGTCAAGACGACAGGTCCACAGTCTCTTCCAAAACAGTTCCCCCACTTGATGCGATCTAGAGTTTCTCCTTCAAATGAAAATATCCTCTTCTGTCCCCAAGGTCATCCAGCATCTTCTTACGTCTTATTCCTCGTCTTCTGGTCACTTCTATCCACCCCACTCTCTCTCCTTCCAATTAGCCTCCCGTTTTTTTATTTTGTGTAGGATATTCCTCTGCTTACTGACTCTAAATAACACTTCTTCATTTCTCACATAATCGGTCCAACTGATCTTCTCCATCCTTCTCCAACACCACATTTCGAAGCTTTCCAGGTGTTTCTGATCTACTGCCCTAAGTGTCCAAGTTTCAGCCCCATACAAAGCCATGCTCCAAATGCAGCATTTCACTAGTTTCTTTCTCAAATTTAAGTCCAATTTGCTGGTAAAAAGATTCTTCTTCTTGCTAAATGCAGCTTTTGCCATGGCAATCCTAGATTTAATTTTACATGTACAACTTCCATCATCTGTTAACAAGCTACCCAAATATTTAAAACATTTCACATTCTCCACTTGTTTTTGGTCTATCTTTATTGTGACTGGGGTTGGTTGTCTCGAAATTTTCATTACTTTTGTTTTTTCCACATTCATTTCCATGCCATAGCACCTTCCAATTTCGATTAGTCTATCAATCATACCCTGTAGCACAGTTTCTTCCTTAGCCATTAACACAAGGTCATCTGCATATTTCACAGTTTGAATAATTTGCCCTCCTAATTTGAAGTCTCCAAGCCCATCCAGAGCTTCTTTGGTAAGGCATTCGCTGTACAAGTTGAACAAAATTGGTGATAAACAGCATCCTTGTCGAACTCCTCTTCCAATCTTCACACTTCTTGTCTCCCCTCTGTCCAGTCGCACTCTAACTTTCTGATCCATGTACAATTTACTAATCAATCTTCTTTCACGCCAATCAATACCTGTTTCTTTTAGGATCTGCATTAATTTGGTCCAATTTACACGGTCAAATGCCTTCTGCCAGTCTATAAAGCAAGCACACAGTTCTTCATCTATCTCCAAAGTTCGTTCTGCTATAATTCTCATCATCCCAACTGCATCCCTGGTTCCTTTTCCTCTTCTAAATCCAAACTGATCGTCTCCAAGTATATCCTCTATTTTCCTTTCAATTCTTCTTTTAAGTCTCTTTCCTATTATCTTTGCTGTATGTGCAATACGGCTTATTGTGTGATGGTCGCTGCATTTTGTAGCTTTTGTCTTTTTCTTTAAGGCAATCATTGTCACTTCTGTAAAGTCCTTGGTCCACTCCCCAGTTTCCTATATGGTGTTTATTAGTTTTGTCAGTGTTTTCAAGCCATCTTCTCCCAGTAACTTAAGCACATCTCCAGGTACATCATCATCTCCTGTAACCTTTCCATTCCTCATGTCCTTCATAGCTTTTTCCACCTCACTTTGTAAAATATATGGTCTTTTCTCGTCTGTATTTACTTCTTCTGGCTCCACCTCCAAGGTTTCTGGCCGATTGGGTGGATCATATAGTTTGCATATCAGCATTTTATTCTTTGAAGTGCACATTGTAAAATAACATATCACAGACTGAATATTAATCTCATTATGTTCCATGGACTATATTCTGAAATGTGACACAGTTAAGCTTGGTGGTAGGTCACGGATTTCTACTGGACTACATGGTGCTCTTCAGTCTCTGTGGTGAGCTCCTCAGATCCACTGACATTAATGTTTTACATAAAAGAGGTCATCTATGGGGTGAATGCCAAAAGTACCACATATTTTTAATGCAAAACATGTATTACTGAAACAGCAGCGGACAAATCTTGTTTACATTCCAACAGAGATTCCTATACTCTACATTTCCTCATGACTAGACACATGATGCCCATGCATCCAGCCCTGAGAATGTTTTAAGTGTTTAAGGTACTCTGCTTTGTAGTATGTTGGTATGTTTCTCAGACTAGTAAATTGCTGTCCCAAGTTCACTTCTTGACTGGTACTGAAACTAGAACCCTGAAATGCATCTTTCATAATTTGTGTGGGGGGGAGAAAATTATACACCCAAGAATGAAGTCAATATCACAAATTTCTCACAATATTCGTAGAAAATTGCAATCTCAAGAATATAACAATTTAAAATGACTTTCAAAATGCTTGATATTTAAGACAACTTGTAGACTAGCATTCATTGAATGAGTGGGTTCAGAAGCACATCAGCACTAGTATACTAGTGGGTAAAAATGTAGAAGAAGAAGAAAAGCGCAAACATCACTATCTAAGGCCCAGTCTAATGTTGAATTTCTGAGCAGGGAGGCTCTTTGCAGCTGCACCTGTGTGGCTAAGTACCCAATGAAATAGAAGAGACTGCCCACACTTAAGAAAACAGAACACTTGTTGCAGAATCTCCAAAATGACAAGATGGTCTGGCATGTGGCCATGGAGACTCTGCAAGACACTTTGGAAGTCTGTGCAAAGGAGGGAATAGATATGATATTAAAACTATGGAGCCATTAGGGGACAATTTTGTCTTCATACATGAGAGCACAACATGTTGAACCATGAACAAATGACCAATTCACTTGCACTTAGATCAGGGGTGATGATAATGTTACTGTCTTCTGGGATGTGGCACTACACCTTCTGGTAGATGTTTAAACATTTCATTTTGGAGGACATATACTTCCTATATCTTCAGGGAAATATGGTGGTGGCACAGTGCAGGCCACACATGATTCCAGCCAATTACATATCTGAACCATTGTGTGATTCATACTCAAGACATGGAAATCTGAAGTTTTCCTGCGTTGTCATGTTGACAGCGAAGGCATTGTGATGGGTTGATCGCACATCTATGGGGTCCTACCACCTGTCTGAACAGTATCTGTAAATGTCTAATAATGCAAACCAAGGTTCAAGTTTAGTTTTATTACAAATGAAGAATGAATAGCCTGGCAGCAATCTGAGCTCTACAACATTTCGTTATAAGGTCTACTTTTGCACTGCCAACATCCTTTCTTATCCTGTTAAAATTCACTTACCTCCAAAGTATAAAGGAGATCGCTGCCAATAACACGGCAAATGAGGCACACACAACACCAGCTATCATCCCTGCACTCAACTCTCTTTTACTGCTTTGTCTGAAGTTCTGAATCTTGTCACAGTTGGGTTGAACCTGCACCTTCCGTGGTTCAGACAGCTCGCCTTGCACATCTTCACGGCTGATAGTGCTATGAGAAACGCCACGAACTTTGATCTCATACACCGTGTCAACAGTAAGATTTGGAATCAGCATCTGCAACATTTATCATTCAAAGTTACCGTTACTTCGTTCCTTCAACCACATATTTGACACAATTTCTGTTGCCCAGAACAGATGTACAGAATTCTGTTCTCTAATTCAAAAAGGGATCACTATTCTTGACAGCAGAAACACAAGGAATTATTTCTTATTTACGAGCATTGTCAGAGGAAAAGCAAAGCCTGGAAAACAAGATTAACACTAGTTATTTGTCTCTCTTTCACTTTTTCACTAGAAACAATATTTCGCTCTATTCAACAAGAGATATTTACCTCCAGCAGTCAAATTAAAACATACGTTTTTGATCATATTTTCACACACTTCTGTACTTTTTTCAGAGTGAATGATGACAGAATGAGATGGTAAGCCATGCACCATGCGTAGGTGACTAACCACATGCATACAACATACATGTCCTAGACTTTCAAGGGACAAACATTTTGGAGATTTTACTGCAGCTGGGATGATGTTACTAATATCATCATGGGTTCACCCAGAGATTAACCTTACTGGTCACTAAACTAGGACAAAACTGATGCTCCTGACCTTGAAGGAGCTGTGTAGTGGGGTTTCTTCAATGTGTAGTACAACAAACTTCCACCACAACACATACACAGAAAACTGTTTCTTCCTTCAGGGTGTGAATATGACATGTTTTCACGCTTGCCAACACAGATATGGAAAACACCTAAGGCTTGGATTAGGGACAGCATAGCAAGTGATCGTAAACTTTCCTACTTTCGTTAGATTACCCACAGAAAACTAAAAATTGGAACAGCTTATGTTGTAAGTAACACTAGTAGACTTGTATGACTTTTTGATAATTACAAAACAGGGCAAGAGAATATAATCAGTCTGTGTTACACCTGTAGAAAAATGAATGACTACTGGGCAGACCATGTGACAGATAAGCAGAGAAGTAATGCTCCTACCAGTCAGGAAACAAAAGCTGATATGTTCTGTGAAACTGATACAGTTTAACAAAAGCGTTTAGTATCAAAGATGAACAGTATATATTAAAACATACAGTCAGAATTTGATTGCTTTCCAGTGGTATGTTTCCTGCTTACCGAGGGCTCTGGATGGTCTGCCAATGCTGAAACCACCACCTCTTCAAAGTCTGTGGACCTCTCTTCACGAAATAAAATGATGTATCGATCAATAACTCCGAAGTACTCTTGAGGACGCTGCCACTGAAGGTAAAGAGTATCGTGGGACTGGCAGGTTAGATTCAAAATGCGTGGAGCACTAGGGCCGCTTATATCTGTTCTGTGGCGGATGGCTTCCGAAGGCTCACCTTCATTCTTCCAAGTGAAAGCCTTCAGCCATATCTTGTATTCCGTGTATGGTTCTAACAAAAGACATAAATATGCTACTTACATTTCCAATCACATTTCAATAACAATCTGCTCTGTTCCCACAGTTAGAGAATTAATACAGTATTCATAAATTTATCAATCAATTCTTGTAGAGTTTTAGTTTTTTGTTTCATCCAGATTCCTTATTTCGACTACAATATTTTTTGTACCAGTCAAATTTCTGTCCTTGCCTGTAATTCTCATTATTCCACTGGGATACAGGCCCTGCGGAATCGGGCTGAGAAGGGAAGTGTAGTACTAACACTCTATTTGTACTCAGGACGTATGTGCTTCACTTCTCAGCTACATGACTGACTATCCTGAATGCTTTTTTTCATGGTCTCTCAAGGCAAAAGCCAGAACAGTAACTTAATACAGACAACTGCTGCCTTTTTCGAAATCCATACCCACTAAATACTCATTAGTATCTATCCATCCTATTTGAGAGTATATACACTCTGGAGATAAAACCGCATCATTAAATAACAGAAGAATTCATCATCAATCTGCAATTTCAAATTTGGAGTCAAAGACTAGCTTAAATTTCGAGTACCAATTTCTTCGTGTAATAAGTTGTAACGGCATGTACTGTCTTCGCTCGCTTGGAAAGCGGGATTGTGGGTTCGAATCCCACTCGGGGCATGGATGTTTAGTTCGTGTGTGTGCGTTTTTCCGTGTTTGTGTACAGGTAAAGGTCTTGCGACGAGCTGATCACCCGCCCAAGGAGTCCTACCGAATATGTAAGATCTAGAAAAACCGAAGTGAACGGAGAAGTTCATGGAGGTAGGCCTAGGCTCACTGGGGCTGTAGTGCCAAGGGGGGGGGGAAGTTGTAACACTAAAAAGTGATGACACCACATTATATAAATCTGTAACATACTTTGAGAAGTGTACAGAATAAATTGTTGTAAGCCATGTTTTAATGCAAACTATCTATTAACACAAACAATGACCAACCACATAAGTGTGTGACTAGATTAAAGAACCAAAAAAATCTGGTTTTCGAATGCAAGGATTCAACAACACTAGTACAAAGGGCACTCACCAGTACTAACACTAAGCCAGTTCAGTTCGTTTCACATTAGCATACTGTATTTGCTTAAACGTGTCCTAACAATACCTCCGTGTCTATGCTTCAGTCTTTCTGTCTCATTACATTTTGTCAATTTGGAATTATAAAATGGTTTATCCGACCATATTCTTTCAAGAGGCTTCTCCACCAAACTCCTCTGTGTGTCTGTTTCTTCCCCTTAAGTGACATGTCTCGCACAATGCAAGATCTAGTTACCATAAGAGAAGAGGCAATCACAAACCTACTGCCTCCACCTTCAGAGTAGCAGCAGGCTCTTCTAGAATGTTGGGCCCTATCTACCAGATGACAGTGTTGTATCCCATAACATTATTCTCTTAACATTCACTGAAATGAGAACCGTGTATCTCAACATGTTACCTTTACATGGTGGGACAAAGAGACAATTTGAGATGTAGAGCAAGCAACTTTCATGTGTATCTCGGCAGTAATAATACAAAGAAATGCGACAAAAATTGTTTTAGTATCTCTTAACTGGGTCAAATACTTTGTTTTGGGAAGAAAAGTAGCATTAACTTATTACCAATGCCAAAAAAATGACTTAACTTTAATATATATCTGTTGAACTTACTCAGATCTTTGAGAGTAAATTCTATGTGAGGATCTGTCTTGCGGATGGTCTTCACATCCGTGTAGTTGGCATGCATATAGTAGAGACGGTACCCGGTGATCTGGCCATTGGGTCTCTCTGGTTTGTTCCATGACAGCTCGATGGATGAATGGGTGACATGCAGAACTGTTACATTCAGGGGTTTGCTTGGCACTGGAAACATGAACGATATTACAAATCACCAATGGCTTGGCGCAGTAACACAATTAAAACAATAAACTCAAACTACGAGATTCTGTAGCTGCACATACTTTCTTATCTCTATTTTCATTATAAAAACTGTGTTGTTTTACTTATTCCATTATGTTTTATCAAAATTTTAGTAACTTTTCTCATACAATAAAGTTTAAAATAATATATCTCACATTAAACAGAGGACAACTGTGTTTTGTATCATCTCTCCATTATTTAAGATTTTAAAGTGGTGTTAACCGTTGATACAACAAGCATCAACAGGGTGGGTG